TCACCATAAATGCCCAATTGCTTTTTACTATTAATGCTACACTATGAAGAAGAGTTCCTCTGGACCCCCGAGGGTTTGTGGCCCTTAAAAAGTCTCTAGGAAGTCTCAAAAACACATATGCAACTTGGAATATAAAGGTTTCACTGTGGATACAGATTCCTATATGAACCAACTGTATGCCCTCTTTCAAAGAAAATGTAAAACGAAAAGAAAAGAAAAAGAAAAACAATAACACAACAATTATACAATGTGAAGGAGTTAGAGTACATGTGATTGTAAAGGTTGTTGGTTCTACATAAAATTGAAAAACTATATCCTACTGAAAACCAAAAAGACCTTTCCACAGAGGTGGTGCAGAGGAGAATCTGACAGGATGATCTGTTTTGCCAATTTTTATAAAATGCTCAATAACGATCAACTGTTTATAGCTTATGTCTGTAGGCTTCCATTCTAGCTGTAAATGTCATTGGAAAACCATAAAGCATATAACATTTAATGAAAATTATCCTGTTATACTTAGCAGAAGAGCCGCTCAGAAAGAGACAGGCACCCTGGTTCTTGCATGGAAGTTTTCCGCCACATGATTTGGTTGGTTTTCAGAAAGTTACTGAATAGTCTCTGAACACCACTTCCCATCGGACCCACAGTTGAAAAGTAATGGCTGAGTTGACATTTAATGAGAGAAAATGCTTATGAGCCATTCACTTGGGATGGACCTGGTTGACTGGTAAGTGTTTGGGTTTTTGAAAAGGTCATGAGGTGAATATATTTAGCTTACAGACACTGACAAAAAGAGACTCATTAAATTACCAGTGTCTCTTTAATCATCTGTGGAACCCTCAGCAGGAAATAAGGCAGGACAACTCTGATTAAAGGACTTGGTTTGTTTTTCGCTGCTTATTAATTTATCTTTCCCTCTCTTTACATGTTGTATAAAGCATTTGTATCGCAGTGCAAACTTTGATTTGAATCTGTGATGGATGTCAGTCTACTCAGGCCTAGGGTTAGTTAAAAACAGACATTTTATTGTTGTACCAAATATGCTAGAATTTGTTTCCCTACAATTAACTAATCTTTATGCAATCCAGTGTCGGGTTTAGGACAATTTGGACGAATGGAAATGTTGACCTGATACTGGTGTGAGATGAAAAGTCAGACGATTACCAAGTAATTCTGTGTGAATCATGAATTTACCAGAGTTGTTGAGATATTTCATTCTAACCACGAATGTCTGTATATTTTTTATGACCATACAACCAACAGGTCTGGCAATATCTTTTTGAAGTGGTGGCCCGACTGAGGTTACCATGAAGCCAAGCAGCAGCGAAAAACAAATCTCCTTACTTAACTCCAGCTTGGATGTTTTGGCTTTCAAATACAGAAGATCTATTTAAACTGAGTGAAAAACAATTAAGCTCACATTTCTGACCTAAGGCTGTAGTGGTTGGTAGAGCAAAGAAGAAAAACACAGTGTTACTTACTGAAAAGAGTGAGAGTCTATTATAGGAGCAGGGTTTGGGTGAATGAATGGACCTTCACTCCGTCGCCTGCTGTTTGTTTCCTGTGTGAAACTGATGGCCAACACAATTCCTCTTAACTACACCTGTTCTACAACCTAAACCACATGTTTATTAATGATGGTTCTCTAATGTTAAATACCCAAACCACAATATTTTCATTAACATACAAGTACAGTTGTGGCTGACCCTAATGGAACTGCGACAATATCTCATGGCACATTTTTATTATTGTTAATAGGGAGGACAAACATCCAATATGTTTGCTCTTGCAGGTTGTATCCGGGACAAGCGACGTATTAGTGGTTGCCTCCAACCTGAATGATATGCTCATTGAAGTTGGAGGACTTGAGGATGGATTACATTTGCCCCTTGCAAAGACAACTTCCACAGTTGCTTCTCTCTTTCCTTAAATGACAGTGGAATAAATAATTCTCCCTGTGGTCTTGGAAGCCGTATTATAAATACTCTATCTGTGTCTGTGTTCCTCAGCAGGAAGTGATGTGTCAAGCAAGATAATTTTGTGAGTGTTGAAAGGCTGTTTGGTCACAGTCCAATTCCCATTAAAAACACTGCAGGGAATGGATAAACACTCGATGAGAGAATGGGGATGTTTAAGTCCCTCCAAAGACTAAGCAAATGACTCAGACATGACAGATGAGACATAACCGTGGGTTCAGAGAAAACATCCTGTTGGTAATTGTTTGAAATGCCAGCAGTGCATTTAGAAAATGAATCATAATAATCAGGTAGGAATAAAGTTTCAGCATTTATAATGTGCCTGATTTCAGTCACGTCCATTTAAATCAGCCTGTGAGGACTTTTGAACCGTAGCGGTCTGTCAGTTTAGTGATAGACAAAAGCAGTTTGGAGGAAACTGATGTAAAACCTTCAAGAACACATGAGTGTCGTGCAGAGGGTGCACACATGCTGGAAGTTCACACAGCAGCTTAGTAAAGATGAAATTAAATTAAACTTGGGGGATGAAACATAGTGAACTGATGCCTGATATAAGAAGTGATAATGGATGATGTTCAAAGTAAAAAAGCAAAGAGCCAACTTCCAGTTTCTGATAATTAAAGATAATTTAAGCAAAGCAGTACTATGCTGTTTTGCATTTTGAAATCCTTTTCACAACCATCCTTCCTGCTGGTTCATACAAGCTGAGTTCACATGGAAGCACATTACACCAAACGTATACTTCAGCATCAACAACATCTATTTGTGATCATTTTTCAGGGATAAACGGCAGCCTTAAAGGAATAGTTCAACATTTTAGTAATTAGAGAAGAGTCTTTTCCTCATGAGAGATTACAACAGACATCAAAGAGTTTACTGCACTTGGACAGAAAATATTCCAGCACATGATTCCCTGATAATATCTTGTTGTTTTTGTATGGCTTTAGCAACACAGATATTACGCATTGGCTGTTTATCCTAGTTTCTAGTCTTTATGCTAAAATAAGCTAATAGGCTGCCTTCTATTCGACACAGGAATGAGATATATCAATAGGAACTCAACTGTTGAATATCTCATATTTTGTGCCTCTAACATTTCTGTCTGATTTTGCCTCAGGTCTCATCGTGGGTTCGTTGACCGTGTGCTGGCTTCCCAACCAGATTCGTCGACTTATGAGGGCCACCGTGCCCAAGTCCCACTGGACTCCTTCTTTCTTCAGGAGCTACATCACACTTCACCCTGTGGCTGACTCCTTCTTCTACATCAGCTCTGTGCTCAACCCATTCCTTTACAATCTGTCCTCCAGGCAGTTCAGGGAAGTCTTTGTTCAGGTGCTGCGGTGCAACCTCACTATCGAACACGTGAACAAGCGCAACTTGAAGAGCTTACACGCTGCTTCTGCGCGCTCACAGCGCCCCCTGTTGATCAGGTCATTGCGTAGAAGCAAAGCAAACCAGGCCTCCCAGGTACAAGAAACACCCCCTCCCACTTTTACAACCTTTCAGAAGGATAGTGGCATAGGAGATAGTCATACATCAGATCCTGGGACGACCGTCACCCTGCCTGAACAGTCAGCTTCAGTTCTTGAAATAAAGACAGAGGAACCATCAGAGACTGAAATATAACGTGCTGTAGCCTGCAATTTATTATAACACAATAAACAGTAAAAACAAACATGGCGGAAACTTCTTGGTCCAAGGACATTTGTGCTGTGCCATTAGAAATAAATAAAGACATTTATACACAGTAAATACAGTTGGCTACAAAGTGTTAAATCATGAATTTCAATGATCTGTGACAGATCACAGTAAGCTGACAACGCGGCAATAAAAAACCTTGCATTTAACATAAATTGTAATTATGAAATAGACACAAACCAACAATACTACAAGTCCTTCAAATTCATTGAAAAAAATTTGGTCTTTGTCTATGCCACTTTTGGGGTCATGGCAGAAAGAGATGTTGCCATTCTTCCACACAATGAGCATTATAATATTTACTTGTGATCATCTTGGAACCACTGTGGGGCATGTTATTCACTTCTTTTAAAACTGCAGCATGCAAACTAAATGATGTTCCTCAGCTACATGTTGTTCCACGCTCTTACAGCGGATGGTGATTGTAATGAAAACACTAGAAATGCATCAAAAAAGATGGGGCCTGGAAACCAAACAAATCTGATTGGTTATAGTTTTATCCAATGAAATCTAGAGATGTTTTTTCATCTGCAAACATTGATGGTATCTCTTGGAAATAGAAAATATCAATGACTAATTTCTGAATTTGATTTGACAAGGCTAGGGGTTAAACAGGACAACATCACTTTTAACACGTGTGTTTCTCCATGTGCTACCTTTAACTTTCAGCTCAGTTCCAGAGAAAGAAAAGTCATGTGTAAACTCATCAAACCAGCAAAAAACACAATTTTTATATTTTAAATGAACCACTGAAAAAGCAACAGAATGTTACCATTTGATGAGTTTTATATGTACAATATTTTTCAAGTGAAGCCCATCGTGTCCTAAAGATACCTAAAATGATACCTATCATAGAAGATCTTGTCCTAAAGTCTCTTTCTAACGTGAGTCCATTATCCTGGACAGTCACTGACAGCCATTCCTGTCGTGCCACCTCATACTTGTGATTTCAGAAATAAGCGATGCCAAGACCATGTGGTTAGTTTGAAACAGATTTCTGTATTTCAGCATGCTCTTGTAGCTCTATGTACAGAACGTGTGTGCAGAATGTTATTGTTAGAACTAGCAGAGAGAAGTTTCAAAATACAACTGAACTTTTGAATGGCTTTCACTGATGTTACTGACTGTTACAGTATGAATTTGTCATGGAATTATGCGGGTGTGTGAGGTGCTATCATCACAGACACATACATTATTTATTCATCAAGTCATTTTGTCATGTCTGCAGATTCTTTCCTCCAAATCATTTAATATCATGGCTGCACATATCATACTCAGTTCATACATATGCTGCCAGCTTGGTGATAGTTAATGGTTTCCGTGGAGAATAAATCATGGAGTTTATTCTGGAGATCGAATGGAGAATGAGTGATGAATCTTAACTTGCTTATCTTTCCTGCAATATATCTTATTTGACCTTGCAGTGTAAAAAAGACAAATGTGCATAAGCCACCTACTGTCTGATAAATAGCTCCAGGCCCTGTGATCCACAGCACTGTGCATTTCCTCCTCAGCTAACCCAACTCCACTTGTAAGCTGCGAGCATGAGGATAAAAATCCCCAGTGCTGTATGGTGTTTGAACTCTGAAGGCAAGCTGCGACAAAAAGCAGGGGAAGAAAGAACACAAATATTATACAAAGCTTCCACATGCCTCGTAGAATATACATTTCAAAGTGTGTACATCTCAGTTCTGGTTCGTGTCTTCTGTACTGTCAGCAGCAGCTTTGTTTCTCCATGCCCCATGTGAAGGTCTGTCAGCAGAGGGTGAGGGACAGTAGGAGGATGTAGACAGAAAATACAGGGAGCAGTGGTGTGGTCAGAGTGATGGCAGCGGACGGTTGGGGTCGCTTCTTCTGGCGTGGTCCATTACACAGCGGTGTGTTGCAGCAGGTGATGCACACTGAGTTGAGCTTGCCGGTGCAGAACTGCTGGTAGCCAGAGGAAGCAATCAGACAAGCTCCAGATGAGGCGCAGGACTTACGGTAGTGTATCCCTGAAATGCACGGAAATAGATATTTTAAGCCAATTTGATTCGAGAGAGAGAGAGTGT